CCATCTACTGCTGGTCTCCCCCTTCTCAACATCTCCATCTACTGCTGGCCTCCCCCTTCTCAACATGTCCATCTACTGCTGGTCTCCCCCTTCTCAACATCTCCATCTACTGCTGGTCTCCCCCTTCTCAACATCTCCATCTACTGCTGGCCTCCCCCTTCTCAACATCTCCATCTACTGCTGGCCTCCCCCTTCTCAACATCTCCATCTACTGCTGGTCTCCCCCATTCTCAACATCTCCATCTACTGCTGGTCTCCCCCTTCTCAACATCTCCATCTACTGCTGGTCTCCCCCTTCTCAACATGTCCATCTACTGCTGGTCTCCCCCTTCTCAACATCTCCATCTACTGCTGGTCCCCCCCTTCTCAACATCTCCATCTACTGCTGGCCTCCCCCTTCTCAACATCTCCATCTACTGCTTGCCTCCCCTTCTCAACATCTCCATCTACTGCTGGTCCCCCCCTTCTCAACATCTCCATCTACTGCTGGCCTCCCCCTTCTCAACATCTCCATCTACTGGCGGCCCGACGATCCGGATGGTTTTGCCGAATGTAAAATCTGTTGATGTCTGTTGTTGGGATTTGGGACTAATTATTGCATGTCAGAGGTCCCCTATGCTAAGCTAAGCTAACCCGGTGCTGGCTGTAGCATCGATGTTCACTTTGAAAGGAAATTAGAATTTCCTGAAAAGAACGGTTGTGCTGAAAATATACAATATCAAATTCAATTTTGAAAGGTTTGGGTCAAATTGAGGCCGGCGCCAACCGGCGCGTGAGGAAATAAAGGCGGAACGTTGTTCAGGTGGTGGAGTCATTCGGTCAGCGTGCAGGACGCCATTTGTTTTTCCCACAGCCACCTGTGAACGTGTTGGATTAATGTGTGTTGGAGACTAATCGTATGTGTGCTTTGCCTCATAAACACACACGCACACACACCTACCCACACGCCTCCGCCTAAACCACACAATTTCTCCGAGCTTGGCAAAATGCATTGATAAGCAAGTGTGCGCATGAACACACACACACACACACACACACACACTGCAGTGTGAAATTGGGTCAGCGGTGGAGAGTGGGCTTTAATGCCGAGCACATACGCTCTCTAAAACCCATCTGCATATTCATGTGGGTGGCATCAGAATGACACACGCACAGATACGTGCACGCACGCGGATAAGTACACGGGTGTACACGGAGGCCTAAACTTATCCGTCCCACACGCGCCCACATGCACAGATACATGCAAATGCACAAACAGACAACAAAGCACAAAGAAAACCCTGAATCTCACGTATAACTGTCGAGGAGCCACAGGGGGCGGGTACGTTCTACTCATTCCAATTCTGCGGCTAAAAATGAGCTTCTTCCTCTCGCGGCTGTACCTTGTCAATCATTTCTCTCATTTCTCCCTGTCTTCCTCCCTCCCCCCTCACACAAAGGTGCGTGACCGCGCTCTCTCAGCAGCGCCCATATTACACAACTCCTGAGCGAGGCGACAAACATCGACAAACCCTCGAGGAGTGATGAAGTGTCCAGGTGACTACATGGACATCAAAAGAATCACCAAGAAGTATTCTCGCTGAGTCTGGAGGACAGTTGGAGGAAGAAGCAGACTGGAATGAAGGTGGAGATGACGGGTGGAGGAATGGAAGTAAAGCGGGAGGAGGGAGACGGGGAACAACATTTTTCTCTGACAAAGCATTTTCCTGCTTATTTGCAGAAGGAGGGAGGAGAGGGGGCCCAAGCTGGAACGTGAGAAACCGAAAGGATGTAACAAAGGATTCAGAGCCAGTAAGCAGAGAGCTGGAAGGCCGCGAGGGGCCGGGCGAGGGGGGGAGGGGGGGGGAGGAGAAGGCGAGGGGGGGGGGGGGTCTTTTGAAGAAAGAGATGGTAGGCAAAGGAGAAGGGAGGAGACAGAGAAATGAGACACAGAGAGAGAAGGGGCGAGTGTGTGTGTGTGTGTGTGTGTGTGTGTGTGTGTGTGTGTGTGTGTGTGTGTGTGTGTGTGTGCGTGTGTGTGTGTGTGTCTCATGTGTTTGGGGACCTACACCGTCAGGCCTGAGCATGTGATTTATTTCAGAATACTAATGTCTCTTTGATGTCCTCTGTTTAAAAGGAGGATCGGGGGCACGAACGCGCACAAACGCGCACGAATGCATGAAGGTCTCTGCATACAAGGGAGCACACGGCCGCACACCTGCAGCACACACGCCTACATTAATGTTGTTGTGTCCCCTTGACTGACTGCTGAGCAGGATTCATTTATGCACACACACACACACACACACACACTCACACACACTTCGGGGCGTCTAATCTACTTTAACTATCTTCAAATCCACAGAGATCCAATTACAAAGATAGAGGGATATTTGTTTTCTCTGCGCATCCTAAAAGACTAATTAAATTTTCATGTAAAGATGAAATTATTTGATACAACACAAACGTCTTTTCATTTTCATAATCGTAATGTAATATATCTTAATTGGGGATCCTGTTTCTGTCTACCTCAGCTGTCTTTCCAGGCCTATTATCCTGCACAGCCATTAAATCCACATGCACACATTCACACACACTTACCTTGCTTCCTTGTATCATTTCACCATAATTTGAACGCAGGGTCGTGTGTACTACAAGGTATCCCAGAATGCACCAGGCAGAAAGCCTGGCACACTCTTGGCATTCTTTCAATCAGCTTTGTTTACCACATAATTCCATACGTGTTGTGTCTTCAATACTAATATTCTATATATTCTAAATTAAAAAGAAAAAACCTTGAATGAGAATGTGTTCAAACCTTTGTCTGGTGCTGTACATGATACTGCAGGTTTCACTGAACAGGATGACCAGTCCACAGCCGTGCAGCCTCTGCTAGGCCTTACAAAGCAAGGGGCAGCAGGGCAGAGTCAGGGGACGTCAAAGCCCTTAAAGTGCATCCTTTGGGGATTATGTCTGTGCACGAAATTTACTTGTATGTCTTTTAACGCGAGTTTGGAAGTTCGATTACCGGCTCGTCCGCATGGTGAAGTGTCCTTGAACGAGACACTGGAGCCCGAGCGGCTCCCTTGCAACTTTACAGCTGCCCACTGCTCTTTTGGAGGGTTAAAATAAGAGGTATATTTGTGTGGTATGCCAATATTTATATATTGCCACGGTTTGGGTTCTTTTCCTGTTTTATTTTGTAGTTTCTTGCCTCTTGTGTCCCTGGGTAACTTCACTTCCTGCCTTGTCCTGTCGTCCCCTGTGATTGTCTGCTGTGTCTGATCGTTTCCACCCGTGTCCAATCACCTGCACCCCCAGTGCATCTAAGCCGTGTGTGTCTGTTGTCATTGGTCGCCTCATTGTTAATCGTCAGAGCGTTTCTGGTCCATGTCTGTGTTTCTGCCCCTCGGCCTTTTTTGCTTTTGAACATTTGGACTATTAAAGTCTTCTTTTGTTTCTCGAAGTCTGCGTTTTGAGTCCTGCGTTCCCCGGAACCCCGTGACACACATGACACATTTGCCATTTTGGTTTTGGCATCTTGCTGCAGAGCGACACTTAAAACTAATCAGCTTGTAAGAAAGCGCTCTTCCCTCCTACTGCCGGCCTTGTTAACGCTGTTGTGTGTTCACTTTTGTACATCACGTTTTGAAAGTTAGTGACCTCACGGTGGATTTTCAGGCAAACTGAGTTGTCTCCTCTGATTTCAGCCCCTCGTTTGTGACATTTCCCTCAGTGAGCTTGGATGAA